TGAGAGAGAGGAAGAAACTATAGATACATATATACCTAGGTTTGACTTTATTGTATCACAAGAAAAATCCCACACACACACACATCACGCGGATTTTAGAGAAACCGGGTCTTGGCGGGTTGGGTTCCACTGGGCGGGTTAACGGCTCACGGGCCGGCTCGTCTTGCGGGTTCGCGATAATAACTTGTTCTCGGGCTCGATTTAAATCGCACGATTAAATAAATACAACTTCAGAAATTATTAATACACACATTATTTTAAAATAATAATACTAATAATAAAATATACAATTAGGCAATTAACTTCAATTTGGAAAACAATAATATTTAGACATTCAATAATAATATTAATAATTTTACAATAATAGTAAATATCAATAATAATAATAATAATAACAAATAATACCTGATCCCAAATAATTTATAAACAAACGGGTTTACGAGTCGGCCGGTTTCGACTACCGGTTTATCGGGCTCAATTTCATAAAATCCGATCGTATACAACGCTCGGAAAATAAAATAAAATATAACAATATTAATAACGCCGAAATATCCAAAAATCTATTATTCAAACGGATTATATTCGGTTCACGCGATTAAACCGAAATCGCCGAACAACGAATGTTTTTCAATAAAACGATCGAGTATTCCGAGAAATTAAATATAACCTTATAAATAATATTCGATAAATAGAATATTCCGAGAAATTCTATAAATCGAACGGGGCGCCAAAGTTTAGGATTTTTTTCTTAGATTCTCAATCGATTCAAAGCATGATCAGCCGAGTTTCTTCCCCGAATCTATCAAGATTGACCCTGGTTACGAACTAGCAAGTTGAGAGTCCACGAGTTTGGTCAAAAGAGGGACTATCATGACCTGTAGGTCGTGTAACAAAGGTCGTAAAAGCGACCTGATAAAGTGTAGGTGGCAAAGTCATGAGGTCGATGATACAACATAGTGGCCTGCTGAGTCAAGGTAAGGAAGAAAACAAAGTCCTAATAAGATGGTAAGTACATCTCGCTAGGAAATAAAAGATCTCGAAGACGTGTTGTACTGAACAACGAGATACGGAGAGATCACTTTTCCTATTAATGATTTTACATAGGTAAGAAGACTACCGCCTTATAAAAGGAGGTTACAGGTTCTTTAACGAATAATACACATTACATCCCAATTTATACCTTGACGAGATCTAACTTATGCGTCGGCAGATTTCTGTCGGGACCGCTCACGACATATTATGGGGTTCACTGGAGCTCAGCTTGAAGGATGGTTCATGAAGTTGGCGGTCTAACATCTGGCTTGGGGCAATTTGTGTATCAATAGTAACTGTTTTTATGTGTTATTCACTTTGCAAAATTGGAAAAATCATAGCTTAAATGTTAAAATAAAAAAAATATAAATAATTAATATTGAGAATTAAATTGCAATCTGGAATATGGTTTTGAAAATACCGGACCGGACCGGGCGGTTCAACCGGGAACCAACCTTTACACCCGTCCTGTTTGAGACAATAAACCTCTAGGGATGAAAACCGGTCGTGGGACGTCTGAACTGGTTCGAACTCGATAAAACCGGAAAACTGGGACCGCTTACCCAAATGTTTATTATTGTTCTGCACTTCTGTTGATCATCTTTCCTCTCCCTGTAGGCCTGTGTGTGTTTGTAAGTTGGTCCAAGTCCAACATGTAGCATTCTAACCACTGTTCTAAAAATCGGCCTAGGCGGCCGCCTAGGTGCTAGGCGGTGCCCGGGCGCCTCCGATTTATACAAATCGGCAGAAAAAATCGGCCAGGCGGCTAGGCGGTGCCTAGGCGCTCCTAGGCGGCCTTGGCGGGCTCGGCGGCCAGGCGGTTAGGCGGCGTCTAGGCGGGCGTAGGCGGACCTAGGCGCTCCTAGGCGGGCTCGGCGGCAATTTTTCAATTTTTTTTAATTTTTTTTTTTATTTTTTTAAATACTAATTACATTATTTTGTTCTCATGTTTTCTTTAATATATATTAATATTATTATTTGGACTTTGGTGTGTGAATTTATTATATGTTGAGATAATTTTATTTTGTAGGTAGTTAAAATAAATAAAAAATAAGGTACTTACTATTAATTTCTGGGCCCCGACTAGGCGCCGCCTAGGCCCCGACTAGGCGCTAGGCACTGGTCGAGCACCTAGCGGGCGCCTAGCGACTTTTAGAACACTGATCCAACTGCTCAAACCCAAAGATTGATTAATAATAATTTAATTAAATATAATTAACACCAAAGGCGCCTAGCGACTTTTAGAACACTGATCCAACTGCTCAAACCCAAAGATTGATTAATAATAATTTAATTTAATATAATTAACACCAAAAGCTCTAATTGAAAAGAAAAAAATGTGATTCTAAAAAATTAAAATTAAAATACCATTAATTTATTATAGTAGTTACTTATTATTATACCACACACAAAAATTTTCTCTCTCTACTGTGCGAAAAAATCCCAATCTTATCGTCTTCCTCTTTAAATTTTTTCCGTCGCCTTCCCCGGTAGGGACCGGCGAGTGCACGATGGGGCTCAACTGAGCTTCGTGGCCCTTGTCGGTGAAGATGCGCTGCTAGGGGGGAGCTTTTTCGCCGGGGAGATGGTCGCGCAGTTTTCCGGCTTCCGCCTCGGGGCTGAGAATGAGTGGCGGGCGGCTGTTCTTCCTCCGGCATCTCCGTTGCGGCGGCCTCTGGCGCTCTTCCGGTGAGGGCTGCGACCCCAATTTTCCGATCTAGGGTTTGGGGTGGAGATTTTGTCTGACCATTAGCGTGGTCGTTGACTCTGGTTCGAGGCGTTTGTCGGCTCCGGTAAGGGACGTTGGTCGGCTCTGGTCCTGGCTGTCTGATTCGTTGTCGACGAACCTCGTTCTGGGTGCTGCTTGGCGCTCGAAGGGCTGGGGTTTTGGGTGTCAGTTTCGTTGTCGACGGGTTGGGTTCCAGGTGTTGGTGCGCTCGTTGGGTTGGACTAATTAGCTCGAGACTCGGACCATTGTTACTGACTGTTTGGCTAGACGTTTTGATCTCCGGGTGTCAGTGGAGTTGTTCGGTTGGACGAGAGTTGGGCCCAATGGTGTCCGACTCCGTTAGGCGTTCTCTTGCAGTTTCGGGGTCGGACTTTTGGGCCGGGACTCTACCATTATTGTGCTTGGTGTGATCTCCTGGTTGGGGAAGGGCTTTAATTTAGATTTTTTGGTGTAGTTTTGTGTTTGTTTGTGTCGTTAATTTGAGTTTGTGTTAGTGTTGTTATCTGGTCTTGTATTTTAGGTTTGGGTCACTTGGCCCCTGTGCGAGGGATTACACCGTTGGAGTCGTTCCACATTACCTCGTTTGGGGTCGTTCCACATAACCTCGTTTGGGGTCGTTCTGCAGTTAGGTCATTGGTGTTGTGTTATGGTGAGTTTCTTTTCTAGCGTTGCTAGTCGTCTCTAGGCGGTCTTTTAGACCTGTCCTCCCAGTTTTATTCAGTTGTTGGCTATATTATTCAGCCATGGGCTGTGTACTTTGCACATTTGTGCGTTTTTGTTATATAATACTTTCTATCGTTTCGTAAAAAAAAAAGTTACTTATTATTAGTAATATACTAAATTAAGGATAAATATATATATAAAATTATATATTATACATATAAAATAAATAAAAAATTATATATTAATAAAATCGTTTTAACTTATTTGTTTATTAGTTGGACCAGTAAACCATTAAATCAATAGCTTCACCAGTTTGATAAAGAGTTTGATTTTAAAAACCATGATATAGACATCTTCAATAAGAAATACTTGAACCTCATTTATAATGCATTTTATTTGTCCGTTGACTCAAATATATTACATGTATTAGGCCACATTATTCAGTACATTTATTTATACGTTGACATGTATATACGTATATCACGTCACATTAATTTGGTTTCCGGTTAGGGTTTCTTCCTTTGGGAGTCTTCCGTTCATTACCGGTTTTCGGTCATCTATTTCACCCACCGTCGTCATAACTGCAATATTCTGGTAACTCGCTTCCTTTCTTACCTTATTAATTCCCGTAACCACCGCCCCTGACCTTCCCTATCCCTTTACTTCTCAACTCCTAATTATGCAAGAAGACCTCACCAATCGATTTCAAAACTTCTCACTCTCTCAAAAGGAGGTTAATATCACTGATCTAGACTCTTCGGATATACGGCTAAGCTCAAATGAGTGCAACAAAAGTCTATTCGGCAAAATTATCGGCGACAGAAAAGCTCATCTATTCGGTCTCAAACGCACTATGTCGCTGATCTGGCAACTCAAGCATCCTCTTATAGTGCGAGAGCTAGAACCGAACTTCTTCCAATTCCTCTTTGAATCAGAAGCAGAGAAGAACAAAGTTGCTGCAGGAAAAAATTGGTCCTTCGAGAATCAATATGTCATCCTAAAAGAGTGGCAAGATGACTTAACAGCAAACCATGAATGCTTCCAAGAAATGGACATCTGAGTCCAGGTACACAATATCCCACTCAATTGGCTCTGTATGGAGGTCGGTTTAAAAATCGGCAAATCTTTCAAAAATGTGAAAAATGTCACCATCAGCTCGGGTTCTGGCAATTGCGGTCGATTTCTACGACTTTTGGTCACCATTGACCTAAATGAACCCCTCCTTCGATGTACCTGCCTTGAACTTGGAGACAAAGTTCGTCAAATTGCATTCAAATATGAAAATTTGATCAATTTATGTTACTACTGCGGACGAATTGGGCATCTAGATAGGAGCTGTGGCTTTAAAGTTTATGACATAGCTAATGGCAATCCTGCTGAAGGGGAGTATGGAGAGTGGCTCAAAGCTTCTGAAGGTCCCCCTTCACCTCGATCCAGCAAACCCTCTGAGCCAACACCTATGACAAAATCGGCCACTGCAAATCCTCAAGAACAAGACAAGGCCACTGCAAATCCTCAAGAAAAAGACAACAGCAACTCCTCTCATTCATCCCCAAAGCAAACAGAACACTCCAATATGGTCTTAACCCCTGCACACCAGTCCATCAATGGAGAAACTGACTCATCACTCAAAGCTATAACTCCTGTAACTGCAGAGCACCAGCCAATGGACATCCAATCTAAATCCATCATTCCCACCAATAATATCCTCCTGCTTGACTTCAACTATAACAGCAAACCCCCTGAGCATGGACAGATCATGAATTTCACCACAGCAACTTCCCAACAACTTCCACCAACTGATCACAGCCCACTGAACAACAACACCACCTTTAAGAGGCACCCCAGAAAGTGGACCCGAAGGCCTACCAAATCAACAGACTCTACCTCCTCAAAGCTCACCCCTGCCCAACCTAACCAACAAGAATATACGAAAAGAACAAGACAACCTGAAAATAGCAACACATCACAAGTGGAGGAAATTGCTGATATTGCTAGCCCCAACAAGAAGCCAAAACTGACAGACGTACAGGTGGAGGAAGCCAGCCTCAAGTGGCCCCAATGTGACCAATGACAGCCATGGTGTGGAACTGTAGAGGTCTGGGTGGGCCCTCTACAGTTCCCTAGGTCAAGGAATCATGGCGACTCCACCACCCCAATTTTGCTTTCATCTGTGAAACTAGAAAAACTAAAAAGTTTGTATCTACTGTCTGTAAGAACTTAAATGTTGATGATAGATGGTTTGCTGCTGACCCTATTAATAGAGGGGGAGGCCTATTAGTTTTTTGGGACAAGGAAGTTATTATCCATCAAATCTTTTGTCAACCATTTTGTATTGAAATAGAATTTAGCCTTCATAATATTCCCATCAAATCTTGGTTCGTATTTGTGTATTTGAGCCCCTGCAGGATCACCAGAGTTAGTCAATGGCAGTACCTATCACAAGCAAAGACAAAATGGGGCCCCAACTGGATAATCGCAGGGGACTGGAATGATATCCTCTGTCCTGGTGAAAAGAATGGTGGAAGACCAAGAACTGAAGCTAGCTTTTGGGGTTTCAGATCTTGTTTAGCCGACTTGGGAGGACAGAAAATTTTCATGGAAGGCTACCCCTTCACCTGGGGGAACAACAAGGATGCAAAGGGCTACATTGAGGAGAAGCTGGACAGAATGGTAGCTTCATTAAACTGGCACACTACATATCCAGATGCCAAAGTCCTCAACATATTCAGAAGTGCCTCTGACCAAAACCTCCTGCTGCTTCACACTGGAACTGAACAAGAACACAGGAAAAAGATATTTGCCTTTGACAAAAGGTGGCTCAAACAACCGGTATTAAGGAGGAAATACAAAAAGCTTGGAACCAGCCAGCCCAAGGATCTGCCATGTATTCTCTCACTGAAAAGATAAAGGCCACCAAAGTAGCTCTCTTGAAATGGAGTAGAAACCTCAAAGCAGACTCTGCCAAAACCATAGAAAAACTAAATGCTGAGATGACTGGCCTTAGAGAACAAGGAGGCACTAGGAACTGGGAAAAATGGCACCAGCTCAAAAAACAGCTTGATACAGCTTACAAATCTGAAGAAATCTTCTAGAGACAAAAACCAAGGGCTCTCTGGCTTCAAGAAGGTGATAAAAATACCCGGTTCTTTCATGCATACACCCTGCAATGAAGAAAACGCAACTCTATCACAAGGCTGCTCAAACCAGACCAAACATACTGTGACACTAGAGAAGACATAGCAAACTGCCTCACAGACTTCTATCAGAATCTTTTCACATCAGAAGGCTCTGCTGATGTTGGTCATCTTCTCAGCCATATCCCTACATCCATCACCGATGATCAGAATGCATCTCTCACAGGCCAAGTAACTGAAGCAGAAATCAAAAATGTTGTGTTTTCCATCCACCCTGATAAAGCTCCAGGATGGGATGGTATGACACCCTCCTTTTTTCTAATCCTTTTGGGACATTATTAAATTTGACCTGTGCACAGCTGTTTACTCTTTTTTCAACTCTTGTCATTTACTTAGAAACTGGAATCTCACACTTATAACTCTGATCCCCAAATGTCTCTCTCCAATCACTGTGGGAGATTATAGACCAATAAGCTTATGTGAGGTCATTTACAAAGTGATCTCTAAGATTCTTGCTGAAAGATTAAAACCATGTCTACCATATTGTATCAGCAACACACAGGCAGCATTTATTCCTGACAGACAGCTGTTGGATAATGTGGTTATAGCCCATGAAGTGTTTCACTTTCTCAACAGGCATAGAACTGGCCCTAAAAAATACATGGCATTGAAACTTGATATGTCTAAAGCTTTTGACAGAATTGAATGGGACACTATCAGAAAAATCATGGAAAAAATGGGTTTCAACTTCAAATTTATTCATTGGGTGATGGCTTGTATACAGTCTGCATCATATTCATTTAAACTTAATGGGTGTCCTACTGGTTATATCATTCCTTCTAGAGGGATAAGGCAAGGAGATCCTATCTCCCCTTACCTATTCCTCTTGGTCTCTGAATGCCTATCTTGTCTGATTCAGCATGAACTCTCCACTGGTTCTTATAAAGGACTGAAAATATCAAGACAAGGACCCACTCTTAGCCACTTATTCTTTGCTGATGACTCACTTATATTTTGTCAAGACTCAGTTGATTCTGCTAATCTTATTATGGCCATGCTAGAGAAATACAATTGTTTCACAGGTCAGCAAGTAAATATGTCAAAGTCCTCAATCTTCTTCAGCAAAAACACTCCTGAAGGCACCAAACCAGCCATTTGCCACACACTGCAGGGTATTACTTCACATCATTCAACAAGATACCTGGGCTTACCACTGGGTATAGGCAGATCCAAAGGTGACACTTTCCATTATGTTGTTGATGCTGTAAAAAACAGATTGTTAAGCTGGAAAAATAAATTCTTATCAGGGCTTGGAAAGGAAGTTCTTATCAAATAAGTGCTCAGCGCCCTCCCTATATTCACCATGTCATGCTTCATGCTACCTGCAAGTATATGTAAGGAACTATCTCAACTTTTCTCTAACTTCTGGTGGAAATCTCAAAATTCTGGTATACATTGGAAGGCCTGGCACTTGTTAACCCTTCCCAATGCAGCTGGGGGCTTAGGCTTCCATGACATACAAGTCCTCAATGAAGCACTTATATTAAAGCAGCTTTGGAGGCTCATCACCAAGCCAAACCTTTTAATGAGCAGAGTTCTCATAAATAAATATTTCCCCAATGGTGATTTCTTTGGAGCAAAGCCATTACAGAATGCATCTTGGTTGTGGAGAACATGGCTCAAGCTACAAAAACCTTTCCTAAATGGCTTTCTGATACAGGTCAGAAATGGCAGAAACACCAGAATTTGGGAACATCCATGGGTTCCTGCTTTACCCAACTTTAAACTGTTACAAAATCACCAACCTAACCTGCTGTGGGTTTCTGAACTTATAAATCATATGGAGTCTCATGGAACAGAGCATTAATTAACAGCTGTTTCACTCCCTCAGAAGCTGAAGCTATACTCAAAGTTAAAACCCTAAGCAACCACCTCTCTGATACACCTACCTGGGTTTTTGATGCAAAGAAGAACTTTACTGTGGCTGACACCTATGCTCAACTAATCTCTGATAAGATACTCAAGCTTGATATTCCAGAAAGTAGCACTCAGTCCACAGTGATCAGAAAGATGAGAATCAGGAGCTGGAAGTTGAACATCAAAAGAAAAATTAAACATTTCATCTGGAGATGTTATAATGGGATACTGCCGGTTGCGGTTAACTTGATTAAGAGAGGGATGCGCCTTGATTCTACATGCATGTTATGTGGTGAGCAACCTGAAACCATTGAACACACCCTCTTCCTATGCACTAGAGCTGCACATGTCTGGAAATTGTCCCCTGTCCAATGGAATGGATCTACACACTTCTCGGACAGCTTCAAACACTGGTGGATGAAATATGTCTTCTCAAAGGACACAAAGCCATCACAGATCGAATCCAACTGTCAACATACATCCTATGGCAGCTTTGGAAGACACGAAACCTTTGGGTTTTTCAAAAAATCTGGACTCCAGAGCACATCATTGTGGAAAATGCGGTTAAAGAATGGAAGGAATTTGACACTCTCCTAGCTTAGTTTACTTTCTCCTTTCTACCTTATTTTTTGGTTAGTGATTTTTCCTAGCTAGGCTCTTGCAGTGGCTAGTGTGAATTTATTATTCTGTACCGTCGTAGTTTCACAATCCAGTAACAGGCCTCCGCATTCCTCGTGGCTGTTATATGGTAGTTTTATTTCTTTGTTTGTTTAGGAAGCCTATGGCTCTCCTCTGATCCTTTTCGGATTGTGGTCCCCATGGATCCCATGTACGATTGAACTTTATCTATTTATGAGATAATTATTATCGTTTCGAAAAAAAAAAAGAAAAAAGACTATACCAATTTTTTTTTAAAACACTACTAGTAGGGCACCATCTTTGAAGTAAATTTTACAAGTTAAGATAATATAAGGAAAAGCAAAACATAAACATAAAGCATTGGAATTCAATGATGTTGATTGTTGTTCACATGTCCGCACGGTGTGACATAAAAATAAATAATTTTATTTACTTTTTCTCTTTCAAAGAGACATTACACAATGGTGTCGACACAATTAAGCTGTTTCTTTTGCAAGCAAACGCTACTCCGGGACAATTCTCTCTCGTCTCTCCAGAAAAATGTCGACATCTCCCTTTCTCTCTCTAAAACACTGCATTTATACCCACTCTACATATATATATATTATTGTATCTATCCCTTTGTATTTGACGAATATCATCATCGCGTGTCATGGGCTTGGAACTTGTCAGAGCTCTTGTTTGGTTCTAATTTATTTTTGTATATAACTCCCAACCCCTCAATCACGCATATCCTTGTGTATAGAGATTCGCGTTTTCTGAATTTGCAGGAAATTGAATACAAGCCTCCAAAAACCACGGGATAGATTTGGAAGGGCGGAATATTTTACCTTCTGCCGATGTCATTTATAGAGGTTCTCGCCCTTTTTTCTTTCTTCGTCCTCTTGTTTTGTGCTTTTTGCTTCGATTTTTTTTTTTCTGTGTGTGCTTGATTTGAAGCTTGAATTGAGGTTTGCAGGATCTAGTGCCGGTTCTTTGGTCTGGAAATTTTGGAGAGAAAATTCGGGTTTATTCTGGTAATTTCCGGCGGCCATCTAATTTTTGATTATTTTGCCTAGGGATTGGTGAAAGTTTGGGATTACTGGACTTAGATTTCGCGGGTTTGCGTGCTTAATTATTATTATTATTTTATTTTTTTTACTTGAATAGAGTTTTAAGTTAATCAACTAATTTCAGTTTTTATAGCTCTTCTGATTTTATTTACAGAATGGAACTGTGCTATTGAACTTAGAGGGACTTTTCTCATTTTGCGTACAAATTTTCATGTGGATTGAAAATTATTTCACTTTTGCTTTAGTGGAAATACATACAACTGTTGCTGTTGTCCTTCAGAGACGAATTGCTAATCTGATCTCAGCAAAAATTTCCCTTTATCTGTTTCTTATCTGTTCTGTCATGACGATTGGAGGTGCTCTCAAAATTATATATCGAGCATGTTCCACATGTCACAAATTCCACAAATTATATCTGTTTCTTATCTGTTTCTTATCTGTTCTGTTTCTTATCTCGATTGGAGGTCCACAAATTCCACATGTTCTTCTGTGATGAATTCTTATTTGCCAAAACTATTTAAAGCTATTTGATAATTTGTTATCAGTAGGGTTATTCTACTGTTACACTGACTTTGTACCTGATGTTAATCAGGCAACCCCCATTAAACATTTGAATTTAGTGAGGCTCAGTCTTAATCATCGAATCTTAAGTACAAAGTTACAAAAGTGAAAGTGCATTGATACTCTTACTGTACTTTATTTGTATTATTATATTATATATTATATAAATAAAACATTTAATTATATTGACAGTACCATTTAAAAATTCTTAATCATTAGTAAAATAGTTGAAAGAATTGAAACATAACTAAATACAGGGTTAATGAAGTTAACAGCTAAATAAGATTTAATATAATTAATTCCGTAAATTATTAACATGTCACATGTCAATTCGTGGCAAATTGCCTGATTTTAGGCAAATACAAAGTAAGATGTACTGTAGAAAGATCTTCTAAGTGAGTGTATGAAAGTTTAGGGAGGGGAGGGAATACCACTCTTTATTTTTGCAGAGTTATTTTTATTTTTTCCTCTGTGAGTGTTTTGCTTCGAATGTCCATTTAGTTCACGAACTAGAAATTTTCAATTCAATTTAGAACAACTGAGTATATATTTCTTTTTTTGTTCTTTGTTTTGCGGGTTAAACAAACAAAAAAGACTCGTTAGTGCAGAACATGTCCAAGTCAATGTCGACCACCACGTGCGCGCACGAAGACTCGTACGCGGGCTGCCGTGACGACTCGTACGCGCTCGTCCTGAAGCTCGTGGCCATTGCCGCTATCCTTTTCACCGGCATTTGTGGTGTCTCCATCCCTCTAGTGGGCAAAAAACGGCGCTTCCTACGCACGGATTCCAACCTCTTTTCCGTCGCAAAAGCCTTTGCCGCGGGCGTGATCCTTGCCACGGGCTTCGTTCATATTCTCCCGGATGCCACGTCAGCGCTCACAAACCCGTGCCTCCCGAAAGTTCCTTGGTCAAAGTTCCCCTTCTCTGGGTTCATCACAATGATGGCTGCGCTGGCCACACTGCTGGCTGACTTTGTCGGGACACAGTATTACGAGCGGAAGCAGGAGGAAGGTGGTGTGAGAAGTCAGGTGGATGGGGCTTCAGGTAGCGTTATTGAGTCAGGGAAGGTGTTTGGTGAGGAGGAGGGTGGGGCAATGCACATTGTGGGTATGCGGGCCCACGCGGCACACCATGGGCATAGCCACTCGCAGGAGGAGGGAGCTTGTGCTGGCCACAGGCATAGGCGTGGAGTTGAAGATGAGGATGAGGAAGGCGGGGTCAGGCATATTGTTGTCTCACAGGCATGAT